ATTTTGTTTTTAATCGAGGTCGAAATTCGGCCCATGGGCTATCATCAACCCATGGGCCAAAGCTCGTAGCTCATGGGTACCCATCGAAAAATTGGATCGGCCCAGCCCACCCATGGGTTTTTTCTCAAAAAAAAAATCCGGCCCATGGGTGGGCTGGGCTGGACTGGGCTTGGCCCAGCCCATTCGGGTCTCTGTATCCTATTTAACATGTTGTTCAGACAAACTTAGTCAAATGTGCGGCAGAGAAAATAGGTAGAAAGAGGTGCAACACAATTAACTTTCTGAGAGTTGGAAAAACCCATCGGTAATTATTTAATTATGAGAGCTGCTAAATGTTGTTTTTTGCATTGTGTAATCTTTGTTTTTATCAAGAAAAAGAACGATTTTTATTACGAAGAATGTAAAATATTCTTAAATTGTAGGGTGACATTATATTCTTAGTCTTCATACCCATCGATAAAGTCTACATAGTAAACTTTACTGAACTAATTAACATATTGATTTGAGAATGTTAAAATGTCAATATAAAATGTATTAAATAAAAGAATATATGGTAATGTCAGACGTCCAATCATCAAAACCTATTATTTAATATTATGTTTTTGATTTAAACTCGTCTGGTTTTTTTCTTTTCTCATTTTTTCACAAGTTATCAGACAATGAAATTTTAGAAATATTTCGATATATTTAATTAGGTAACCATCGTATTATCTTTTTTATTAAAGAAAAAGTATACGAAGATTATTTTCTCTTGTTTTATTTTCAGATTATTGAAAAATTGATTATTTTATCAGTTTTTGACAAAGAGAATATGTCAACATGTATTTTTATTCTAAGATAAAATGGTTATAAAAACATACGAGTTGAAATTGTTATTGTAAGAGTATTATTTAAGATAAAACAAAATTCAATTGATTGTATAAATAAAAAAATGTGTTTAAATGAAAATATTTTATATTGATTAATGCGAAGTAAAATAATATTAAATTTAAATATTAAACTTCTATCAGGTTTAATAAATATATTGTTAAATGGATTAATTATTCGTTATGTTAATTTAAATATAATTGGAATAGCTAATATTCGTCTTAAATTATATTATAGAACAATATTATTATTTTCAAGAGAATCTCTTCGTCGTACAATACCCAATATTAATAATATTCATTCAATATATCATTATATTAATTTAATATGGTTAATTATTCCTCTTGGATTATTTTTTATGTCACTTTCTCTTTTATTAATATTGTTTATTGAAAAACTAAATAATGAAAATTTCGGTCTATATTATAACGAATCTTGTTTTACTTATTTTTTATCGGCATTCATTGAATTATTATCAGAACCATTTTATTTATTATCTATAATAACAGAAAATGATTATATTCATATTTATATTGAATTTATTGCGTCAATTATAGGTAAATCATTTTATTTGTTTTGTCCTCTTTTTATAATATTATTATAGTAGAGATAAACTAAGTTAAATCATTGAATCAATAAATATCAGTTAAACGAATTTTATTTATTGACAAGAAATTCAACATTTTAACTTTTCAATACGAAACAATAATAATCAGTTTTCCGAATACTTAATTATAAATAACAAAGAATAAATCAGTTTTTCTTTTTTGTGTAAACAAAAATATATAAAGGAAGTGTTGAATCAATAGAGTGAAGAGATTTTATCTTTAAGAGTAGACTTCATCTTAGAGTTTGTTGATTAAAAGTTAAATTGAAAAATATTTTCATAAGTTAAAGTCAAATTTATAAGACGTCTTTGAAAATATTTAAACAATTCGATTAGATAAAATGATGATTTTCTTATTGTCAAAATGAAAAATGAATAGTCGCACATTATTGAGTTTAATCCTACTGAAAATTTAATGAGAAATATTCTCAGCCCTGAACAGATGCGTATGGGTAACCGAAATCAAGGTTCCGAATAGAATTTGAAAACAAAATGTTTTTGTGCACTTTGTTTAACTAAGCAAAAAGTACGTGTACACTTAACTTTCGTAAGCAAAGGGTACTAAAGTGTAGAGATTGAAGTATATCATATAATCTACAAAAAATATCGTGTTCAGTTTGGTATCTGATCAAAAATATAAAACAAATGCATAAGATTAAATAAACAATAAATATGCACACGATTATTCCTCAATCTGACATGAGTAGGAACATATTCGAGAAAAAAACACATATAGACATTCTACTTTAGCAAAAAATATACGAACAAGTATAGATTTTACTACTTGGTTAAGAGAAATACTAGCAAAAATCAATCAGAATTTTCATTCTCATCTTCATGACGCATATCTGCACAGGGTTGGAACCGGTCCGGCCGGACTGGACCGGTTTACTATTTCTCAACCGGTTCCAACCTTTATCTTCATGATCATCACAGAATCATATTGAATCAATTTCTATACCGAATTTGATTCTACAGTAATTACATAAACATCTAGAGCAGTTCTTTTCAGAACCAATCCACTGCAATTGTTCATTCTGATGGTAACACTATAGCTTCATTTTTGACTTGGATCAGTTTTAAAATTTCTTGTTTCTAAACATTAGCACCTACAGAAGCGATTAAAAATAACTAAGATGACGATGAACCACGTTTCGATTCTACCGAAGATGAAGATGAACAGCGTTTCGTTACAGAAATTACATTTTTACTGAACAATTTAAATAGTGTTACTTGAGTTTTACTCCCCAGGTCAATCGATACGGCTATCCGTATTTTCACCATAATTTTGCCGAATATCGCCGTTTACGGTAAGAAATAGTACGTAAATGGACAGTATTTACCCTTAATATTGGACACAGTAATACAGCGCTGTATACGAGACCGTATTTTTACTTTATACGGCAGTATACATGTCGTAATTCCATTATGATAGGGTCGTATTTCTGTGCCCGATATTACGCCCGTACACGGTCCGTTTATACGTCGTAAAGTGACAGTAAACGGTCGTACACAGACCGTATCTTTCAATCTGGTCCATCTGAAATAAAAATTTTAAAAAAATTCATTATTTATGTAATAAAAAAGTTTAATTAACAAACAATCTATCTGGGCATCCTTAAAACACAATAAGAGTAAGACGAAACGTGATGAGAAAAAAGAAAAAGAAAAATTAGCTGATAGCAAAATTGATCAAGAGAGATCGTGTTGTACATTTAATACTTTACTGATACTAATATTAATTCATATTCAAATATATTTCTAAATCAAAAACAAAGTATTATTTTCGTAAACATAGTGTATTGCCTACACTCTGGTTTTGTCAGCACTGTGTGAAACAGAGTGTACATTGGATTTAGCAAGGATTTCGTACATTTTGATTCTGCTTGATACACTTGCTGTTCGGAACCTTGACGGAAATTGTCTTTCTTGTTGTTTTCTCGGCCAATGGAATTGCAGCTTTCTTAAAACAGACCAATCAGATGCATTTTGAGTGTTTCTTTCAGTCAATAGGTTGCGTACAGGGAATGACTTTGGGTATGAGGGTTCTGAATGTACAGCCTGGTTGGTGGCTGAGAATGAGTGTCACTGTAGGTATGTGGATGTTTCGATTCCAAAGGTTTCATATGATAAACACGTTTCATTTTGGTGGCAGCTACAATTTTTTCATTACTCGTATTTGGCAGATGTTTGTCTTGAGCAAGGATCCGGGCTGAGTGTGTATTTCACACGTATCTGTGTCTTTGTACTTAACACATTCTTTGCCGATCTGTTGGAGCATCAGTGATTTTGTGAAAGTGTGGATAGATGTTCGAATCGAGTCGAGGCTCTGGCTCTTTTTACATGAAGGAGCTTGAAACAATGTGACCGATTGTTGAGGTCGATGATCTCAAGTTTCGCTGATGCGGCTTTTGTTCAGAGCTGTTTAAAAATCGATGGAAAGTTAGTTTTGAAAGGAGGAAGTAAGTTTAGTCCAACTTCTGGTACATTATCAAAGAACGTGGCTTTCTTGCGGTAAAAAATTGGAGAAAGGTCACTATATCATCATCGTCTCTTCGATTTTCGCACAAAGAAGAGTAAAACAACTTTGAGTCGATGGATTGTACACTTTAGAAGTTAAAAACTAACCGAAATCCTCGTGAATCAGATGGGTGCATATGCGATTGTTATTGTTTTTATGAGGGAGTATGTTGAAGGCTGGGGAGAGGAAGAATGAAGCAATATGGATTTCGACATGTACATATTTCTGGGTGTGTTGGATATGTCAATCAGTTTGAATGCGTAAGGTTAGAATATCGGTAGCATATAGTGTGCATATATGGCGACTAGGAGAGTGAATACGGATTGGCTGAGTACGGATGTCTTGTATGAAGGTCTCTGTCTGGGTTTACTTCTGGAGTATCAACATGTTTTTGTTGGTATTGATTTATTTGTGTAAGTGGAAAGGCACCAGTATCAGGCAATATCGTCAAGGATATGGGTGTAGGATTAGGAGGATAAGGATGTGAAGATAGAATTTGCAGCTAAGAGTGTGAGGTGGAGATTGTCATCACATCTGTGTAAGAATTAGCGTGTGAGGAAAATGAGGGTACGGTAGCAAGGAATGTCAGAATGAAGCTGTGAGGTTACCGATGTAAGTATAGAAGTGTAAGAATAAATGTGAGAGTAGAGGTGTGGAATAATAATAGATTGAAGAGAGAAGCGGGAGAATATGGGCGTGAGCCAAGAGGTAGCAGAAGATAATAGTGAGAAAAGGAGCGGGAGGAGGAGAGCGTGAAGAGAATAAGAACAAGGGTAATAATGAGTGTCTGGATAAGAATATGAGGTTACGAGTGTGGGAATACGGCGCGAAGGGAGGACTTTTAAAGTAAAGGTGTGTAGTTTTAGTGTACGATTATGCGTGTAAACATATTGATTTGAGAGCAAGAACGCGAGGAAGATGGGAATATGAATAGTGAAGAGTGTCAAGACCAGAATGTGGAGTTAATAATGTGACACTACTCACGTGAGTCTTGGGGTTTGAACATAAGTACGTAAGCGCGGGGATGAGAGGATGAAGGTGTTATAATAAGGCTGTGTGGTTCAGAGTGCGAGGTTATCGTTTTGAGCACACGAGTGAATAGGAATTAGCTTCTGAATGAGGGTGTGCAGTTAAGAGTGTGAGGCTACAGGAGTGACCATACGGGTGTAAGGAGGATGAGAATACGGGTAGGAAAGCGTGGCAGGATAAGAATGTGCGCATCACAACGGGTTGGAAATGAGCGCTAGACTACAGGTTTGTAGTAAAGAGTGTCGCGCTAACGATGTGAGCGTAGTGAGTTTGAAAAATAAGAGTGAGGATGATGATGATGTAGGCAGCGGGCAGTGTCAGTGTAAAAGTGTGTGAATATGGATATGGTTGGTGAAATTTGGTTTGCGTGTATGTTTGTGGATGGGTGTTGGGCGTCGATCCCGTTAGAGTGTGATTGTGACATGGCTCTGGCGGATGCTGCATTGAAAGTACAGTGTGCCTCTGCGCGTGGGTCTGGATTTGTGGTTTGATGGAAGCTGGTCTAGGGTATGAGAGTGATAGTGGCAGGTATAGTGTAACTCGGGCTCTCGCTTTGCCGGTTTTATTCGCTGTAGGCGTTTCTTTGGGACACGATAGAGAATAATATAGTCGATGTGGATATGTGTTTGGTTCTTGGTCTTGCTTTTTCGTTTGGCTTCGGATTCTTGTGTACGGTGTGGGTTCGGTGTTAGTCTATGTTTGATAGTCATAGGTTTAAAAAGGAAAGAATGTCAGTGTATGGTAAGCATGTGATTTCGGACTTGGTAGTTTGTGAGCCTTGGTTTTGGTGGAGTTGTGAAAGTGTAGAGATTAGAGGATGAAAGTCTTATAATGTGCAGTTCAGTTAAATGTCTGTGTGTGCTGGATATGTTTATGAGTACAATGTGAGCCCGTTTATGAATCGGAGCTGATTGAGAAGTGAAAGTTGAGAACAACACCACAAATCCATACTTAATTCTAAACTGAAGCGCCTAATAAAAATGAACTATACGATCTACACTTTATTGATGTGTTTGGAGTAAGTTTCGTAGAACTAGTCAGCTTAGAACTCGTAGGCAGCAAAGTACTGTTATTAATTATACTTTATTTTTACTTTTTATCGCTCGCCCAGCTAATCAGTAAAACCTATCTATAAAAGGCTTCATGTTTTATTTTTATTAGGGAAAAGTTAAAGTGTTTTTATAGAGCCAGAAAGAAACTAGACACTAATGTATTGTTTACGCTATCTAGATGAAATAAATTTTGAATAAATTTCTCGCAGGAACCTCAAATCAGCCTAGTTGTGCACAGTAAAGCGACAATATGACATTTTATTAATCGTGATGACTACTGCATATATTGTACTTGAGAAAAAAAATATTCGGTCTTCAGTCTTGAAAGTTATTTTATCGCACAGTAAACTTATCGAATATTTTACATCACAGACACCAGTCTTTTTAGGGTGAAGTTTTTGGAAAAAGTATGTGTTACATGTTGACATTCGGACTAGTTGCGGAGAGAGCTAAGTTGACCTGTTCATATGTATCGAATGAGCGAAGAACCCTTTGAGAACGCCTCTAGAAGTTACTTTAAGCAGCTCAATACCTTCTAGAGGAGCTCAGCATCCTGTAACCTCCATTTAGATATGCCACTTATTGTAACAAATTTTAACTAAGAGAGCCTGGTGAAGGATGTCCCAAAACTAGTGTCAATGGATATGTTTTAGATAGACAAGAATGATGTACTATGGACAATCAGAAAGGTCATAGTTCTCAAAAGAACCTGATGATTCTAATCATGTGAGCAGATTCTATGGTTACATTTCAATCAAATTTAGGCGTGTATTTAGCAATGTGGCAGTCGCGATGCTCTATGCATTGTTTTCTGGCTTTTAGGATTGAGCTAAGCGAGGCTCATGGAGCCGACGCGTTACTTGTTTATCTGTATTTGTCAAAATTTAATTTTAAAAACATATTTAAATATGATAGAAAATTTTTTCCTCTATTTATATTTATGTTTCATAAAAAAAAACAATAAAATCTTTTTAAAATAAATAAAAATAAAATATTTTATTAGGACTTGGAATTCAAACAAATCTTATTCTAAGAAATGTTGAATCATCACTTATATATTAAGCATATGGTTATTTAATAAATTCAATAATAATAACATTAAGTTATTATATTTATTTTTTTCCTTAATCGAAAAGAAGAACGTTATCGATTATTTATAATATCATCATTTAACGATTTATTAATAAAGTTTATATATCCATTTGTTGATCATAAACTTTTTAATAAAACAATCCCTATTTTAAAACAAACTATTTCAATGAAAATTTTAAGAGAAGCCGATTTATATATAATAACAATATTTTCTTTAATATCATATGAAGAACAAGCTATTTATCATATGATTTATTTATTTGAATTTTTTTTTCCAAATTTTATTTTTTCAACAATTCAACAAATTTCTTTTTATTACTTTCAACAAACATTTTTAAGAACAAATATAAATCGATATATGATTGTAAATAGTGAATATATTCAAGATGATCTTATTTTATTAAAACAAAAACAAAAACAAAAACAAGATTATGATCAATCATATTATCGATATAATCAACAACCATCAACACCAAACGGTATTTATATCATAGGACTTTTTACTTATTTATTTAACAATTAGAAATCGACATTTTTAACAATCTATTTTATTTTTAATACTAATGAATATTTTAGAAAAAACTCAAATAAAACAATCGAAATGCGTTTATAGTTTCGTCAATCAATCGAAAAATATTTCTAATTCGATCATTCATATTTGAATTGTTATCTGACATATAATTCACTTCAGATAGATAAATATAGAACTGTCATTTATATATATATATATATATATGTCGTGCTGAAGTTACATCGGTCAACGAAGTTACTTCTATAAGCTAAATACTAAATGAATATCGGTTAATTCAAGATATTAAAAACATGATGTAAAATTAAGTTCATTTTTCGTTTTAAAAATACTTTTGTAGTATTTTTTTCACAAAGAAGCATTGAAAAAAT